GACCAGGATGAGATTAAAAGAGAGTGGCAAGATGAGGCCCTCTGGCGACATGTGGCAGTACATCTCGACGAATTTCTCTGTTAGTACAGGCATACCAAGTTGAACTGCAGGCGGGGAAGTGATAGTTACAATCAGTAGGAGCACGACCTGTAACGATAATCAAATATAATTAACTATTTGCTGACAGACAGACTCAATATTCCTTTAAAGTGTTAGTGATAGGCATGAAGTAAAATATTAGTTTTAAAAGCCGCTTAAATAAGAACTAGAATGTTTAATTTATACATACAAGTTACAATAATTATATAATAATAATAATAATAATAATCAACAACAAATAATTAATCAATAATAAATAATACGTAAAAAGTTTACAAACAGCAGTATAAAAAGAGCTGCAAATAACCGCATTCGAATCCGTAATTATTCCTACCTAATAGACTCCAGGCTAATTTGAAACATAACCGTTTTCGCACGCCCACTATCAGGATAATACAACATACCATCTAACCATAATGCACCATTCAATAGCATATATAAATAGTTTATCCAAAACACAACACACATAGACTGAAAACTGCGCTCAAGCATGAGAGTGTCGCTGTTTGATGTTGACCTTTTTTATATTTACATACACCCTATCTCCATTCCACGAAGTCGTTCCTTGCAGATTAACCACAGATTCTCGATTGGATTTAAATCAAGAGAGTATCCGGGCCAGTCTATAGTACTTTGATTTTCTCACTAGTAAGGCTTGCCAGTGTGTTCGTGCAGCGTTACAATTTCCGTACGCTTCCTTGGAGTAACGTCAATCACAGACAATGTCCACAGGACAACTAATCGACAGTCGAGCGTGATAAAAAATCTGATGCAATAACGGATGACGCAATTTTTTCAAGGCCAAACAAATTTCATCATACATCCCGAAAATAAATTCATATTACAGCACACCACTGTAAATGACCTAATCTGAGAAAAAATAGAAATCAATTACAACCTGTCATTCCAGTGGGTCTAAAACTGAGCGTATGGTGAAATAAAGGAAACTAAAGCGGTTGTTCCAATTAATTTGCACAAGGGTATATATTGTCTAGACAATTTCATTTACTTTATTTTTCTTGTTTATGCTTCTATCACTTTTGTTCTTAATTATGAAACATTAATTGTTATTAATTATTAATTTACTACTCAATACCTACAGATATGAGAAAACAGATGAACACAAAATAATTACGGAAACACAGAAATTTAATACGGCAATTAGAAAACTAGTTAGTAATGAAAACAAATCATGTTGTAAACTAATAGAATATCAACCTAGAATACACAAGCTTTATGGTATATCTAAACCCCACAAAACAGCCATTCCAATGTTCCCTATTATATCAGGTACAAGTAGCACTCCCCACAAGCTGGCGAAAGTCAGAGAAAAATATTTTAACACACATCCTCGGAAAAATCAGCCCAACATATGGTAAAGTTCAGGCAACCGGTTCGAAAAGCCTGAGTTAAAAAGACATTTAATTGGCTTAAGAAAAAACATTTTTCTTGTGCGTGAAGTAAATATACATTTGATATAGCTATTATATATATATATATATATATATATATATATATATATATATATATATATATATATATATATATATTATATACATTATATATTATATATAATATATATATTATATATATAATATATATATAAGTAAATATATATTTGATATAGCTATTATATATATATATAAGTATATATTAGATATTATATATATAAGTATATATTATATATATATATATAAGAAGAAGAAGAAGTAAATATATATTTGTATACCTATTATATATATATATATATATATATATATATATATATATATATATTATATACTATATATATATGTATTATATATATATATATATATATATATAAGTAAATATATATTTGATGTGGTTATTATAAATATATATATAAGTATATATATATATATATATGTAATATATATTATATATATTATATATATATAAGTAAATATATATTTGATATAGCTATTATATATATATATATATATATATTATATATATTATATATATATGTATTATATATATATATTATATATAAGTAAATATATATTTGATATAGCTATTATATATATATATATATAAGTTTATATTATATATATATTATACATTATATACAATATGTATTATATATATTATATACATATATAAGTAAATATATATTTGATATGGCTATTATATATATATATAAGTATATATTATATATATATATATATATATATATATATATATATATATATATATATATATATATATATATATATATATGTATATATATATATATATATATATATATATAAAAATATATATATATAAGTAAATATATATTTGATATAGCTTACAAGGATCTTGTACCACATATACCGAAAGGAAGCCAAATAATAATAATAATAATAACAGCAAACAACTTAATGCAGTAATGTTAATAGTTATTGTTTACTCTGAGTGCATTTGTCACACAAGTTACGGGTTTAAAACGGTCCGAAATTTAAAACTACGTGAAATGCAGATCACAAATTGGAGCAATTTACACTATTTACATTGTTCGGTCTGTTGTCCTCATCTTTGCTGCCATATTGACGACCTCTCGACCGCTGTACGTTCCGGCCTTCTTCCGATGATTGGAATTTCGAACTGAACCCTTTTATTTCGTCCACCAGGGTAGATTGATCTAGTTCTACGTCCCATGCCTCTTCATGATATCTCAGCATGAAAGCGTTGGTTGAATCCATTGACTTTACCCAGATATTTGCGAGTTCAATACCTGGCTGTAGCAGAGGGGAACAAAACTTGGAGAGTTGTGTTAAAAGGGAGATAACTGGTACTGAGATATCCGGAAACTGACTAAATAAAAGGCTCGGTTCGAAATTCCAATCACCCGAAGAAGGCAGGAGCGTACAACGATCGAAACGTCGTGAATATAGCAATAAAGATGAGACAATAATGTAAATAGTGTAAATAATTACAATATATTATCTCAGAAATATAGACAGATACAAATTGGAGATATCAAAATCAAACAAGTACAAAACTTTAAATATCTGGTAAGTGTTTTACCAGAAGGCGGAGAGTTCGATACTGAAATTTGAAGGTGCATTGTGATAGCTAAAGATGCATTTCTAAAGCTAAGCTAAGTATTAATAAACAGAAAAAAATCGTTAGAAACAAAGGAAAGAGTACCCAACGAACTGTTAAGTAATATCTGTCCTAATATAATGTGAATGAATGCTGATCAGTCTCTTCAAAGATGAAAAGACTTGAGGCAACAGAGATGTGGTTCTATAGAAGGATGCTAAGGATACTATGGACCGAACATGTAAGCAATGACGAAGTTGTAACGACAATGGTAGCAAGAAGAACGCTTATACTTAACAAGAGACAGTCGAAATTTCTAGAACATATAATAAGGAAAGAGGGCTTTGAAAATTTAATCCTCACAACTATTACACTAATCGCGTGGAGTAATAGTTAATAAGCCTGTTTGACCATTTCGAGAACTATATCCTTACAGGGCGCCCCACACATTTAGCTTTGTGTCAAAGTAAGACACGCTTAGTAATTATATGGGCGCCTTAATTTGGGATAATGTTTAATGAATTAAGCGGTTTGGGCATTAATACTGATTAGAGAATCCAGTCTTCTTTAGCTGCTCCATAGTTCTGGCCTTCTGAAGCTAAGATTAGTAAATGACGTATACCTACCACATTATCTAGCGGAGTTTAGGCAGCAAATTGACATATCAGAAAATAGCACTTAGATGTTGTACATTGCACAATACAAAGATGCAAACATTAAACTCTATTAAAAGACTGGGGATGGGTTGTAGATTATCTTACACAAATAGACTTCGTTCAGAGTCTAATGGATAATGGAATTGCTAGAGTTGGGTGATAGGAGGAGATTTTCCAGAAAAAAAGAATAGGTCAAAGACCTTCTTATCATAACAATTTTATTCTTTTATTTAAAAACAGGAAGATGTTGCTTAAGTAGATAATTTTCTGGAAAAAACTGTATAACATTTTGTTACACTTAAAGAGTAAATTATATATATATATATATATATATATATATATATATATAATTATTATTTATAAAAATTATCACATAAATATGTTATAAAATCACTACAAAAATTGTCATTTTGTTTCAACACCCTAATTATATCTGCTCTACTTTGTATTGAGCACTGTTTTAAGAATAGTAATTTTTTGTTATTGGAATTCATTCCGTATATACCAATTATATACTTGGGTATATATATATATATATATATATATATATATATATATATATAATAATTAAACATATAATATATATTTTTTTATATAAAGAAATAATGCTGATTGATTCGATGTATGATTATTTCTTTATAATATATATATATATATATATATATATATATATATATATATATATATATATATATATGTATGTATGTATGTAATAATTTTACCCCAAGCAAAAGATAAGACGCAAGGGGTTACTGAGCGAAGAAAATTGGAAAAACACTGGGGAAGAGAAAAGACTAAAAGAACAGGATTCAAGGAACCAGAAGAATATACATACATACATGCATATATATATATATATATATATATATATATATATATATATATATATATATATATATATATATATATAGTTGTGTGTGTGTGTGTGTGTGTGTGTGTGTGTATCAAGATTGCTTTGTGGGCTGCTTCCTCACATCAAAACAAGGGAAAAATTTCATATAAACATATATCCGCCAATTCTTCGTATTTGAGTTATTAAGATTAAAGAAAGTTTACGGTAGGTGGCGCCGTGTTGCATGAAAACAAGGTCACATTTGTCATTAGTGTACATTTGTGGCTCGTCTGTCTGCAACGTTTAATATGTGTAAGAGTGAATTAACAATTCACAATGTTAGGATATTCATATTCTAAATGTTG